GTTGTCATGGCTTGCCTTGCTCATTTCCCCAGACATGGAAAATCCTTCCCGATAGGATTACTTGACAAACAATTCCTTAATCTCTGCAAAAAAGGCCATTTGGCATGTACCACCTGCAAGACTGTGATGAAAAAATCCCCCAGTTCACTGCATTAAGAGATTACCTAACAACCACCAAGAAAAGAAAGGTTGATGATGACAGATTCCCTTTTTTTCCCTCGCAGTATGCACGCAATGATACCTACTTCCACATCAGTACAGAAGTTACCAAGCTGAGACTCCATCAATAGTGGTGATGAGGGAAAACAGACACAAAAGGTGGTACAAAAGATGGGATGACACAGACCCTTGGGTTGTTCACTGGATGCTGCCTAGGGATAGTCACTTCTGGACATCAGTGAAACATAACCTCCCCCTCCTTCTTGACACATAAGAGAGAGCAGTTTCTGTATGATTTGATAAAGAAGAGGGAATTTACACATTATCTGTGTATTTCTTCATAGCACGCCCCGATAGGTGTTCAGGTTTTCTTTCTGTCTCATGTGTGCTGAAATTACAGACAGCAGCTTCTATAAATAATCAAATCTATAGCACAAAACCATACAATCTGGAGTCAGATCTCTTTGCTGTTTTCTAGTGACGCTGCAGGTATGAAAAAAACACTGCTGGCTATCCCACTGAGAAGCTGTTCTTTATAAATGTCACCAACAGAGAGAAACCTGGCGAAATTATGAGTCCACAACTGTGATATGAGAAGAAGGATTTCTTTTGAGTTTCTTACCTGCCATTCCAAGTGCTTGTTCCAAAAAAAACTTGGATCGTAGGTTCAAACGATCCAGCATATTTCATTAAAATTCAATTAGGTTCCTACCAAGATGTTTATTCAGTGGAATGAAAATAGTTTACTGCAAAATCATCAAGGTACTCCAGGGAAGTGGCTGGAAAAGGAGAGAGCACCTAAGCAGAAATAATGAATTTCCAACAGCTTTTCTCTCTATCCCAAGCAAGGACCAAAAGCAACTGAAAAGATTCTTTCTGTGATTAGTTATCAGAAGTCAAATGTAACATATCTGGCCTTTTGAAAACAAAGTGCTTTCATGGGAAGTGCTAAAGCTCTTGTGAACAGATCTATACCTTCACACAGGTTGACACTAGCTACCTATACAGCCCCTCCAGCACGTCTTGCCAGCCTGAATGCTAGCTAAGCATTAACAGTCCTCACTGTGTGAGATGGGAAACTGAAGACATAAGAGACTAAAGGCTTTCACAAGTATTTGTCAGTGCTAAGGTTCATAAACTGATTTACCTTTATCCTCTGGTCTAGCAGCTGCTGTATTAAATACATGTGAACGTTTCCAGCTGGTTTTCCTAAGAAAACCAAAACCAGGAACCAGATTTGATTAGCTCCTACTGCAGTAACTATCACACCTCTACTCCCATGGAGGGATTTGTGGTGTTTGCTGTTATGAACTCAAGATGCTGTAGACAATACAACCTAACAGCCAGCTGCTGCATAAAGGACTTGCTGTGTTCCCATCACACTGTCCTGTGTTTGCACCAACACCCAACATCTCAGGAGACAGTTCAGGAAGCAAACCCAGCAGAAAATTAGCCCTGCAAAAAGCAGGGAAACCTTCCTGCCACTCAGCTCCCTGAACCAGGCTAACACAGGGTCAGACATGCACCAGTACAGGGCTGGATTGGGCAGGGAGACTAGCACAGTCACCCCCTTGGTGCTTGCTAGTCACTCAGTTGGATTTGCTGCAGTGTCAAACCATATGTGTACTTTATTCTCCTCTTCACCCAGGCACAGCTTTCTCTGTGCCACAGCTGGAACAGACACTGCTGCACCCTCGGGGGAAGCAGAGGGTACCAGCCCAATGCTAGCTCATGCTTCATTTCAGGTTTCACACTGAGTGAGCAGCATCCCAGCCAGGAACTGGTATTCTAGCCTACCAGCCTTGTGTTTTCAGTTTAGCATAAGCAATAGCATACTGGTTCTATGCCTGAAAAATTATTTTTAAGGTGACTTTGAGCTGGCATTGTGTATAATAATACTTAACAAAACACCACGCGCTCCTTCTACCTCTGCCTGCTTTCAGATGGCACCTACTGGTGGAGAAATGGGCATAGCAACACTTCTCCCTTCTGAAACACAGTGAAATCATAGCATCCCAAAGCTGACTGGAAGGTTAACCTCCTCAGAAGAACCAGGGCTCACGCTGCTGCAAGGGCCCACCAGAACCCTTCTGCAGGCTGCTCAGTGCCTAAGGGCACCTTCTCCAACTTCCTTACGCAGGCATCTGTTAAGTGTTATCAGATGAATTGTTCTGCTTGTGCTCTGCAAATGTCAAAGCAGTTTGCAGTGCTATCACCTTCATGTCACAGAGTGGAAATAATTTGGTGTGAAGAAGTAAGGGCAAGATAAAACGCTGGATGACTGGAAAGGGAAGCCTGCTCCTAACTCCTGCATCACCCACAGCTCACTTTAGTCTCTCCATGTGAACAGTGGCTGCTACATCACTTACCCTACAGGGAGCAGCACTTCATCTCTCAGTCTTTGTAAAACGCACCAGGATGCACAAGGAACAGCACCATTGCAAGACTCAGCTACAGGATGGAGCCAAGGCACCTCCGTGTGCCACAACAGGCACGCTGCAGCATGGGGGAGGAGGCAGAGTCCTCCAGGTAAATCTGTACCTGAGCTTCTGCATTCAGAGCAGTGTCTTGGCAAAGGTTGCTCACACAGGTCAGTGATATCTACTGCAGGAGAAAGCTGTCTCTGAGCTCATGCTCCTGTCACAGCAATGTGGCAACCCGCATATATTCCTTGCATTATGAGCATGACTTCTGCCAGTCCATGCCTGTGAGTCATCCTTCAGCCAAATGCCCTCTGCACACGTAGTGAAGATCATTGCATTTGAGCGAGGAAAGCAGAAATACTGACCTTTTCTTTTCCCTGCATCTAACATTTTACACAACCACCTTACCCATAAAGGCTAACATGATGAATTCACAGAGAAACTGCATACAAATGGGATGCACCAGCACGTTTCCACAATTTTACATAAATAAAACTAGAGGTGGGAGGCAAATCCCAGCATAACTGTGTAACTAATGCTGCCTTCAAAGTGCCAGCTGAGACATGCCTTTAAACCTGGACCTAAGCCTTCCAAGGCCTAAAATGTTGCTGCTACTTTCTATGATTTCCACTGAGTCTGTTCCAGATTTAACAGCTGAAATGCTTCTTGGTACTCTGCTCCTGACAGCTTCTAATCCAGAGTTGGGCATTCCAGCCTTACAGCTTCCTGCTGGAGTACAGACACAAAGGAAGGCAATGCAAACACTCCTCCAGATCTAACTGTCCTCTGTCACATCTTCCTGTGACCTTCTAGCAACCAAAGGGGACAGCAGGAGTAGGAGGGGAGCCTGGGTGCACCAAGGAGGCACAGGAAATGAGACTTACCTCCCAACTTCGCTCTCTGCTTCAGTAGTTATTCCCGATACAAATAGGTGCCACTGATCACATCTTTGGTGTTACCAGATGAACTGTCACACTTGCACTCTTTAGTTCTTAGGGCCTGCTCTGTGTGAAGCCAACCCCTGTAAGTGCACAGCGGTGGTAGAGAAATACAGGGAGAACACAGCATGACGGACATAAAGAGGATTGCAACAAATCTCCCCAACACAGAATCATCAACTACAATGGCTCAGTTACAGCTAACAACCCTTTCACAGAGAGTGCCTGAAGTAGGATAGCTGCACCTTCCCTTTGTCAAGTAAGCCCAGGAATATGGGTGGAAAACACTATATAACAGTATTTTCATGGGCACAGAGACAGTCAAACACTCCCCCAAAATCAGAAGCACTTTTTATATGTTTATATACACATATGTAATGATTTCAAGTGAAGAAGTCACAAAGCATGAAATGATCCTGTATTGGGAACACATACATGTTTACTTTTACATTCCTGTAATACAAACCAGTGCTTATTTGACATGTATCTGTCGTTTGGGCTCACGCTTTAGCAGCAGGAACACTTGTCTCCTCCTGAGGGCTGACCAAAGCGAGTCATCAGAAACAACGTCTCATGCAACTACGACTCCTGTTTTCCAACACGTCCTGCCTCAAAACTCTTTAACACATTTTAAAGCCACGGTGAACCTTTTAAACACCGTTCTTCCCCTCTCCGGAGCTCAAGGTCACTGCAGCACGCAGTGACCACTGCAGACACCCACTGTTAGCTTCGTTTTGCCGCAGATACTCCCGAGGATTCACCCTTGACTCAGGGAAGCTCTCACCGACACATCCGGACATCGCACACAGGGCGGTGTGTCACGTCTTACTTAACCGCACCAAGACGGACCCACACCGCATTTACGAGGTGAAAAGCGCCATTATTCCCTTGCACCCTTTACAACGGTGCGCGGCCCTTTCTGGGCTGGTCACCTCAGCGCACGATAGGAGCGAACGCCGATTCGCCTCAAGCGCAGGGCACAAACCCGGTAGGACGGGCGGAGCGCGGAGGGGGGTGCAGCAGCCCCCTCTAGCACCTCAGCCATGGGTCTCCGAAGGGTGATCCCGTCCCGTCCCGTCCCGTCCCGTCCCGTCCCGTCCCGTCCCACCCGCGACCCCAGACCCAGCCCTCAGCGGTAGGCGGGACCGGCCGCGGCTAACGGCTGCCGGGCGCACGCGCCGCCCCGCCCCTCCCCTCCCTCCCGCCTCGGCCCAGCCAATCCCTACCCGCGCCTCAGCCTGCCGGCCCGTTACGCAATCCTCACGTCGTAACGTCACTGCTTGCCCCCTTCTGACTGGCCGGCGGAAGCGTCCTTTCCGGCAACCTCATTGGCTGGAGCACTGGAGCGCATGCGTGAAGGGGGGGGGGGGGGCGCAGCACGGAAGCCCCGCCCCGTTCCCCTCAGAGGGCCGCCCCCACCGCCACCCCCTCCTTCGGGCCGTGTCAGGCGGCGGCCAGCAGCGTGGAGCGCGGCGGCTCGTCCCGCGGGGCCTGTCAGCCGCAGCCGTCTGCCGCGCCGGGCTCTGCTGCTGGCCCGCGCCGCCGCTGCGCTCTCCTTCCCCGACAGTCTCTCTAGCCCCGCCGCTGGGAGCCGCCGCCATGGCGGCCACCGAGGAGAGGAGCCTCGACGACTTCTTCGCCAAGCGGGACAAGAAGAAGCGGAAGGAGAAGAGCAGCCGAGGGGCCGCCGCCGCCGCCTCCAACGCCGCCTCGAGCGCTTCGGGGGCGGCCGGAGGAACCCGCCCGGCTGACGGAAGCGGCTCCGGGGCTGCCGCCTCCAACGCCGGCTCCGCCAAGACGGCCACCAAGGTGCGGGCGGGAGCGGGGCCGCGCCGTCGGGGCGGCGGTGGGGGAAGGGTCACGGCTTCCTCCCGCCGGCAGGGGGCGCCGCAGTGCCTGGCCCGCGGCAGCGGCGCGGCGCCGCCCGGCCATGCGGGCGCCCGGGGCCGATGGGGCCTGGCGGAGCTGCCGGCCTCGTATCCGCTGGCGGGGAGGGAAGGGTGGGGTGGCCGGTTCCCGGTCTCCGGCTTCGGCCCTACCCAGCCCGCACAGGTTTCTGGGCCTCGACGCATGGTAGCAGCCGGAACTGGCTGTTCGGATCAGGTGACGGCTGTAGGCCAGCTGGGTGTGTGGCCTATGGACCTCGGTGGTAAGGTCCCCCGGCTCTGCAGGAAAAGTACTCCGAGCTCATTGCCTTCCCCGTTTCCGGCAAGGGTTGTACTGCCAGTCATTAGTCCTTTTTGTGCCGATTTACAGTGAAACAACGGGAATGCGAGAGAAGCTTAAGTGCTCATAGTTGAGTTAATGCCTTACAACTGGTCGTGCTGTGTATTTTAAGCAATTTGAGGAACACCCTGCTACTTCCCAGTGTTCTTTAACTTGCGGAGCTTGACACCAACAGTAGCTCCCTAAATAGACCAGGGTCAGTGGTACTCTTTAGCTGCTCATTTGCTTGTAGAATAATACATGCTTGTGATTGAAACTTGTAGTTGGAATAGAGATAAAGATCATTAAATGTGAAAGGTACTTTAGTTTGGAAACAGTGATGTTTCCATGGAGATGGGGATATAAGAAATCCAAGAGATTTTAGAGCTGTTGGCTCAGGCTCTTCCAAAGGACTGGATCTTCAGCAGACGGTGCAGTACATCAGGTCATTTTCTGCTTCTGCTGTTACTTTAAAGCAGGTCAAAGTTTTCCTGCTAGAGGTTGATAATGTAAAGGTCCTAGGACAGGGCTCTTAAAAGAAGCTGTATTCCCGGCTGAAAGGGGCCATGCCATGGGTAGACCCTGCTTGCCGGGTCTTCATATTTGAAGTAATAAAACTGCATTTCATGTAGAGTGTAGGAATTATGTTTAACTTAAAGCCTGGTAACTTTAATTAGGCTGAGTGTGTGTGTGTCTTAAAGATGTGACTAGAAACACGGGAGGCCTGCTTTTCTGGTCCATTTCTGGCCTACCTTATCCCCAGAATCTACTGATTACACAACAGGACGAAATTGGACCCACTTAGGTGGGTCCTGATTTCTCCAAACATGCAGTCAAAATCCTGTTTTAAAACCTTAAAGTGGGGCTCTCCAGAGACTTGTATTCCACTGGTTTTGTGTGCTCAGATTGCTGTGGGATTTGAAGCTGACCTTTTTACTATTCTAAAAACACTATTAAAAAGCCAAGAAAGGCTGTAAATGTGGTTGTGAATGTGAAAAAGTCAAATGTACCAATATTAATCTTTGTCATAAATCCACTGTAAGCTGTTCCAAATGTCCTTTAATGTTTGGCTCATGAAATAAGCGATGGAAAAGTAAATCTAAAGCCTTCTGTGCATTCAGGCTGTCACAGAAGCTTTCCTTTATGTAAAGGGAGAGGTCTTGTCCTTGTATTTTCCTGGTCCTGTGCTGCCCTGTGACTTCCCACTGGATTTTTACTGACATGATGTGGTTTTCTTTCACTTGAACAACTTTTTGCTGGGGCATCTCTTAGCTGTGGCAGTGAGTTAGTCAGCTCACAAGTGCATCACATATGGTAAGTGAGGGGAGGAGGGAGTGGAATTCCTTCCCAGTTGGCAGTGGCGCAGATAGATCAGTTTCCCATGGAACTGCACCTTCACCCTTAGTTTTCTTTTTATTATCTTAGTTACCTTAGTTACAGTCTTCTACTCTCAGTGTAAAGAAGTTAACTTGTATTTCTCTTGTCTTACAGGAAGAAGATGATTGGAAGGAGTTTGAGCAAAAGGAAGAAATTGATTATAGTGGTCTTAGAGTTCAGTCCATGCAAATAAGGTACTACTTCTCTTGTTAATTCTTCTCTCCAGTATAATCATTACCTCTGCCTAAAAACTATGTTCTTCAGAGCTGCCTTCCGGGAGTCCAGTTAAACAGAGGTCTGATATGTTTCTGCTAGTGCAGAAGTTTGCTGAGGTTTGACTGTTCTCTGACAACGTTCTCTTTATTTTCTGTATCTCTGTGGATTCTCCAGGTTTGTTTGGTTTGGTTGGGGTTCAGATTTTTATTACAAATGCTTAACATTGCCCTCTGTAAAGATAGTGAAGTAGGAATTTTCCTGAGGGAGGAGTGCAAGACAGTAATTCCCACTGAATCATTGGACTGCTGTAAGGGTAGCTGACTCAGTCCATTCAGCATCTCAGTTTGGGGAGTGAATTCCTGAGCCATTGCATTTTTATGTCAAAAAACCCAATCCTGTGCCATGCCATTGAAGTGGCTAATCACATGTCTCAACAGACACGTGACAACTGGGCTGCTGCTTCACTACCTCTTGGTACTTTGCATTCCGGATGCTTTTGGTGCTGTGGCACATTCTCAGGCGCATGGAAGCTTCTGCCAGAGGATTTTATAGCTACTCAGTAGGTTCAAGGGAAGAGTGGAGAAGTAAATGGAAGAGCAGCCCACTGGAGGTTATAAATTATCCAGCTCTGGAGATCTCTTTGCTGAAAATAAGCCATGGAGTCTGTGGTGGGAGTGGGATGTGTGTGCTTGCTCTGCTGTAGCTAGCCTATAGGCATCTGCCTTTGACTGGAGTTTAAAATAGGATAGTGATGTGTATAAGTTCTTGGTCCAGCTTACTGTGATTTTTACTGTGTTTGGACAATAAAAGGGCATTTAATTTTCAGCAATTATAGGTATTTTTAACTGTTCTCTGATTACTTTTAAAGAAAACTTATCCAATCATGATGAGTGTATTATAACTTCTGTATTCCCACTTTGGTGCTGCGATGCACATGAGTGGCTTTGGTTTTTCTATAGCCTCCCCCTGTACCTTTATCCCATTACACCACACATCTTTCTGAAGCAGCTTTGTTTAGCAGCTTATTTGGAGTCTTTTGACTATTTCTGAGCAAAAAAAGAATAGTCTAACTAAAATAGTTTTTTTCAGAGTATTTCTCTTTAAAAACTGGGGTAATTCTGTCTGTGGTTTTTCTGATTCCCTCTTTTAAAAGCCCAACCAAACAGCACTGACTTGGTTTGTAGATTGCCTTGGTATGGGCAATAGGAATGTTTCTTGGTTGTGGTTATAGGGAAGGGGAGCTCAGGACTTGCTTTCTGTCACTGTATTTTTCCACAATTTCTTCCTCTTGAGTAAAGCATTTTATGAAAGCAGGACTTGTAGCGCTTTCCTTCCTTAGCTTCTCCTCATGTCCAAATGCTTGACTGTCTTGTTAAGTAACTTGAAGCACAAAATAAGAAATCAGTTTATTTGGGTCACTTAGTACAGTTTGAATTCTTCTTTAAGGACTTTTTTTCTTCTCATTTGCCAAGTTATGTAGCAGTGTACCAAAAGCTGTTCAGGTGCAAGTACCAGTGCAGTGGTTACAGGACTGATGCAGTCTGGTTAAATCCAGTATCTTCAGTGCAGCAGCTGTGAAATCTTGTCTGTGGTGATAGCGTAGCCTTTGGCGAGTCTTAAACCTCTGTGTGTAAAAGGCTACTTATCATTGCTCTTTTTTAGTGAAAAAGAAGATGAAAAAGATGATGATGAAAGTGAAAAAAGAGAAGAGCACGGTGACCACTGGGAGGAGACTGGTGGTGGTGGTGTAGACAGATCATCTGGTCCTTGGAACAAGTCAGCTCCTGCGCCGGCACCTGTCGTCGAACCAGTTGGTAAATTTAACTCAAGAGTTGTTGTTTTTTCCAACCAGAAGCATGTTGGGTGGAATGAAGCTCCTCAGAGAGTAGGGCTCATGGAACAGTTCCTATTCAGGCATGTTCTAACATACCATTGGCTTGGTTGACATACTAGGAAGTGTAGTTTTCTTGTAAAGGGATCTGAGGAACTGAACTGATAGCATTGTCAGGTACTTTAAGAAAACACAAGTGGAAGGGTTTTTGGTTTTGGCTGAAAGCGATCTCTCTGCTTTGCTATCTGCAAAATACCTGTTGGAAGCATTTCTGTTGATCCAGAAATACTGCTTTGACAGTCAAGTGGATGTTCAGCCACTATCGGCTGTGTGGATGGCAGTTCTTGGGTAGGGTTCTGTAGCTGGTAGGACGCTTTTCAAATCTGCTCTAGGGCACAGAGAGCATGACATTGTAAAATTGACTCTTTAACTGGGATAGGACTTCAGTGGAGATAAATCACTTGGATGTGATCCGAATTCAGGCTGTTCTCTTCCATGGAGAAACTCATTTCAAAGTGGGCTGATGTATTTTCTCTTGTTTCTGCAAGCAAGGAGATAAAATTAATGAGTTACTTCATTGTAGATTGTTACGTTAAATATGAACTGTTTGGGAATTCTCTTCTGCATCTGGAGAGGTGCTTGAAGTAAGATTCAGCCAATACATAATTATGTGTTTGCATCTCTAGTTTTAAATATAAGCTGCTAATAAATAGCGGATAAGAAACGTGAAGTCCTCATCATTGCTTTTGGTTCCTTGAACTTTGTGAGGCAATACACTGAAGCCACATCTTAATTTGACTACTAAGTATAGTTTAAATCAGGTGACACCTGATGTCAGAGCTTTTAAAAGCGCAAAAACATACCTGTCTTTTCTCTTTATCATTTGTGGTTTGTTTTTTTTTGGTGGTGTTTTCCAGATATGAAGGCAAACTTCTCTTGTCTAAATCTTGTTTTTATACCCAGTTACAGAAGCCCCTGAACCAGTTCAGACTGGTGGTGTGTACAGGCCTCCTGGTGCCCGGGAGGGTGGCAGGCCACGGAGAGCACAGCAAGGACCACCAGAAATCTATAGTGATACGCAGTTCCCATCACTGCAGTCCATCGCCAAGCTCATAGACAGTCGAAGGTAAGTACATCCCTATAAGATGCATTTTAACTGCCTTCTCTAAGGTCTTGCTTCGGTTTAGAGCTTAAGCCTAAATCAGTCAAGAGAGGAAAGAAATAACTAAGAAATTATTTATGGGAAACAGGATTTTCCAACTCTAGGAAGGACACAGCCCAGTGAAATAGCCAAACAAGACTGCCCGTTCCCTTATCTTTGACTTGCTGAAGGGTTTTCCTAAAGCAGAATATTGCTGTAGCAGTGATAGCATCTGGTTCCCTGGGATACTAGCCACGGTGAGGCTCTGTGTTACTAGCATCAGTAGGCATGAGTAGGGTGTCTCGAGCACACTGCCCTCTTATTAGAGCTGTGAAGATGAATAAGATTCCTTCTTAAATGGAGGAATGGGATTTAATACCAATATAAATCAATAAACCTGCTGTTGGAGCTGTGGTTTACAATGATGAGCTCCCAGAGTTTGCTGAAGGGTTTTCTTTTCGTGGTGCTGAAGACTTGCAGTCTCACCCTGCTTTAGAGTCTTCATCTTTTCACAGCCATATTCCCTACAGAAGATATAGCTAGGCCAGTACACTTGGGTTCTTTTGTTTCTTCTGGGTTTTTTGGGGTTGTTTTCTTCTTTTTTCCCTTTTTTTTTCTTTGTGTGGCTTTGTCTGCTTGGCAAATGAGCTGTGCTGTCATTGCTCCTTTAGTGTTTGAGGGGTGCAAATTGAGCTAAGAGGAAATTCTGAGCGAGCATTCTAGAGATAGACTGCTGCCTTTTAAAGCCTATTTTTCATAAATGCACTGAAAGTTACTTTTGAGAATGTTAATACTGAAACTTGGAATGTGATCTGAATTGTAGTGGGTGATGAGCTTATTCTGGAGATAAGGTTTTACAAGTTTTGCTTGGGAATGCTTGGCTGTTGTGTTAAAACTTTAGACCTTAAGTGTTCTGTGTTCTTAATGGTTTTGTTGGGCTGGGGTGGAAGTAGACTAGAAATTCACAATTCACAAGCTAGTGATAAGATATTTACTGATTACATTTATTTTCCCTTAGGGATAAAGAAATGGAGAAGAGCTTTGAAGTAGTAAAACACAAAACTAGAGGTAGGGATGAGGTGTCAAAAAAACAGGCACTTAAACTTCAGCTAGACAACCAGTATGCTGTGCTTGGGGATCAGTAGAGCTGCATACACATTACAATTAAGGAATGCTTTTTTGGTAACCCTTCTACTAAGGTAACTAAACTACAGCTAACGGCTATGATGAACATGCCACCTTATTTCTGCTGGATCTACTGCAGCAAGTGCAGACTACTTTTGACGTAAGTGCTTGGTTCTCCTCCGCTATGGAAGCGTTATATGTTACAACTTCTCCATTGGAAATGGGGCAGATTAAATGTAAATGATTGAACAAGAGTCATCAGTGTTCTTTAATTGCTCAGAAAGATACCTTCAGCCAGTGGTCATTTCAAAATCTTTTTATGTTCAGATACTGAGCCTTCGTAAAGGTTGACTACCTCAGACTTGCTGCACTCATTGTGGACACCATGTGGATCACAACTTCTGGAAGAGAAGGTTACAGCTGTTTTAGTGGCCATCTGAAACTTGAAACCAGCTCTACTGGATTCCTGTCAGAAATCCTGCAGAAGTCAGCCATTTGGTTCCAATTTGCTATAACAAAGATTTAAGTGACCTTAAATGACAAACATATTCTGTTCCCCTTCTGAGGAATCCTGTCATGTGTAGCCATAGCCTACTAGAGACTTCTGGAGCGTACCAATACCACTCATGCTACCCAAGTATAACAGAGCTGTAGTTTGTTTACCTTTTTAGATAGCTGTTCTGAAGTAACTGCAAAACAAATTAAAACTCACTATCAGATTGGGGGAACAATGGGTTTGAATGGTCTGTTTGCATTAGCCATTTTCACAGTTGTCTGTTGAAGCATCTTATTTTTCCTGTTCTCCACAAATGCCTGCCTTGTTTCTGATATCAAATTGCAGTATATTTAAGTAATGATGAGATGTTGTAGTGAAATAGGGTTTATTTTGGCTTTTGTCATGAGGTTTGTCTTTCCTACCCTGCAGCATTAAGAGTTTTTTTTACACAGAGGTATCCAGACTCTTTAAGTAAAGAATTTGGCTTTTAAAAATGAGATACGTGGCAGTAGTGGTACTAGATAAAAACTTCTCCTCTATTAAAAAGTGATTTGTTTGTTGAAGGGTAATGGTTACTTGATAACCAGAATAATGTAGTATGCAGAGGGATAACTAGAGCTGGTAAGCCTTATTTGTTTGGCTACTTCTGTGAAGCATGCAGGCTCTTTGAGGCATAAATCCTCTATGTAAAACTCAAATGCTGTTTATTCAAAGTTGGGAAGTTTAGTACTAATGGAAGGCAGTGACTTCTTCCAGTTGTTTTCATCTTTGATTTAATTGAGTGGAAGTAGGCAAAATGGCACTGATACACTAAGAATTTAGGACACTGCCCCCAACACTGATTTGATGAACCAAACCTGTCAAGTACCAAAAGTGTCCTGCTGTAACTGCTTTTCTCTTCTCTGAATTCTTATACCAGAAGCAAAATGAAGTAAAATAGTGGCATGCTCCAGTGTTGAGGTCTCTCAGAGTAAATGCCAAAAACTAGACCCAACATCTATAGGAGTTGCCAATGGCAAGAAAAACCAGGGAACAAAACAAAACTTGTTGGCTCGTGTGGTAGTTGTGTGTATGTGCAGAAGATGAGGTTAGTGCAGGAATCGCCTCATTGGGTTCCCTTTTGACTGCTGACTTTCTTTAAATCTGCTTGAGGCCAATGGGAATTTTGCTGTTGACTTCAGTGGGGCTGGGGCTTCACCTGAGTCTTCTGTGCACAGACTAAAACTGGCCTTGCCCTTGCAGAGTTACCTGTCTCTAAAACTTCTGCTAGAAGCTGCTATTAAAGAGGGCTCAAGAGACTATCCTTAAAGTTGGAGAGTTCATTTGGAAACAAAACCTCACAGAAAGACTCATACCAATACCTTGGACTCTGAGCCATGTATCTTCCTTGAAAATATGTTGTTGCCAGCAAAACTGTTGATTTGTCACTAAAGATTTCTGTGGAATTCATGGTAAACGGACACGTTGCTTGATGTGGTAGAAACATGAAAGCTTAAAACACTTTTCTTGATGCTCTAAAGTAATTGGGATCACCAATGAACTGAGTTTTAGTCTACTGTATGAAGGGTAGATGAGACTGTTCATTGTACCATCTTTGAGGTTTTGGGCATGAATTCTGGCAGTTCAAGAAAACCCTGTAACAGTTTCAAATCAAATAAAATGGAAATACGGAGTCTGGAGTGTAATGAATCTTTACCTTTAGTTCTAGCTTATGACAGACAGCTGAGGAGACACAGCATTTGGATCTTAAGGGACAGGCCATGGAGTGGGTAGTCAAGTCAGCCTTATGGTCAGGTGGGCTGTGTGTAAGAGCTTATAGCAGTGCATTCTAATACAACTTCTGTTTGTACAGAGAAGTTTAGTTGCTTTCTGTCAGAGTGTCTTCTTAGTCCCACCCTATATGACTGGATTGAGATCGTGAATTGAGTGTGAATGAAGCTTTGATTTGCTTTTCACTTGAAAGTAGCTCTGCTAAATCAAAGAATGAAATAAACCCGTAAAACCTCTTGGATGGGTGCTGCCATCAGAGTCCATCAGCTACTGATAACTAGAGCTGTAACTCTGGGGGGCTTTTCTTAAGCATTTCATTCCAGGTTCTTTCTGGAGGCATCAAGGAAAAGAAAGAAAACACAGCAATTTCCATAGCACAGAATGTTAAACTATTGAAAACTGTTCCTTGTGTTAAATATCGCTGCCACGAACTAGCAAAAAACCAGTTGTCAGTATCTTCCTGTAACAGTGAATTGTTGTGCATGCCTGAAATCTTGGAAGTCATCCCTCTGTGGAAGCTCAGTATGCTTTTGAGACTCTGAAGTCCAACTTTACCTGGTTTGTTGTTGCATCCATTCGAGGCACGCTGAGACTGTCCATGTCATTCCTTCAGAATGCTTCTTGAAGGCTCATTCCATAAATGAAGGATTGTAGAAATGAGATTCTTGGTACCAGTCAGTAAAATGCTGTTGTGTGCTCCTTCCGAACCTGTAACATGCTTTTGTGGTGGCTTGGTTGTTAGTTTCCAACTTCAAGATTCCATTTTACTTTGTCTGTGACATAAAATGAAAATACAGCCATGAAGTTACCGACCTGCTGGTAGAACGTTTAAACGTCCAGTACCTAAAGGGAAAGGAACAGTTGGGATTTGTGACTCTCAGTGGTGCAGTCTGTATTTAAGGAATGTTGAAATGCCAAAACCTAGATCATTTTTAATAAAGTTGGACTTCCCAAATCCCTGCTGTAGGAATCTGGCATCTGTATTTCCTTGAAGTGATGATAAATATAGAAGAGGATTAGTTTTGATCCCTGCTGCCCCTGGTTTAGCTGTGCCATGCTTAATCTTACAAAAAAAGAGGAACTGACAACAAAAAGCAACCATCTCCTGCTCCTTCAGTTTTGTCTCTGAAATTACCTTTACCAGTCATGTCCAAAGTAACTCTTGCAAAACTTGGGAATAGCTGAATTGTTAATAGCACAGACTGTGTTACAGACCTGATACCAGTGTTTTGGTGTCTGCATGTGCTAGCTCTCAGAAACTTTCACCACAACACACTGTTTAGGTCAGGTAAACACCATATAAATGTGATAGGGCTGCAGATCTTAGAGTTTGCTTATCTGAGCTTTTGCAATACTTGTTGGGTTTCTTTTTTTTGTCTAAGTTCAGCCTGGTTGAGTAGTTTTAAACTTGCTTGGGGTTTTCTGTCAAATACTGTAAGTAACGAGCGGATGATTGGTTTTTAGATTAATACAGCTTCATGTGCTTAAAGGGTGCTTAGTTACAAGGTATTAGTACATTATTCTGTCCAATACTGACATGGTCAGAGAAATGAATACCTCCTCTTTTACATGACCAATTTGTATCAGAGGCCCAAGAAACTAAATATATCAAAACCACCTTGAGTACTTCACAGTCTTTATGAATAGCCACAATCCAGGTTTCAGCACCTGGCTGTAACTGAGTTCCCAAATTGTCCCCTCTCTGCTTTCAGTTTTTGATTGCACAAATTGAAGGCAAATTGGGGCTTTTTTGGGGAATGTAACAAAAATAATAACATGCCTTTACATTTCAGAGAGATGAATTAGGTACGTACAAAGGGGGAGGAAATCTGATGGGTATTTGCTAAGGAGTTCTGAAGAAAAAGTTAAAAGGGTGGCTTGTCTGTGTCCAGGTTCATACAAGAACCTGCTTTAGCTGATGGAAGAAGAAATGGCAGCAGGAAACAGCTGAGGAGTCTAATACTGATTTGGATAAGTTGTAACTGTCATGTACCTATAGTTTGGCTTCTGAAGCCCATGTGTAGTCCTACTGTGTTCTGTTTGAAGTGAAACTGAACAGCAAGGAAGAGATTTTTATTCTTTTTAAATAAGGGAGATTGGAAATTATGCAAATAGAACAGAAGGTAAGAGAGGGATTGGGAAGGGGGCTTTCCTAAAGGATAGTGTTAGATGCATAGCCTGAGGCAGGGAGTGGAGTGTAAGTGGTTGGGTAGAAGTGCTGCTTTCGCAAGTGACAGATCCATCTGACCTGAAATGAGGCAACGTGGAGTTCAGTACTTAAGGAAGCCATCCCATTTTCTTTTTTCCCTTAAAGAAAAGGATTGGGAATACCTGTCCAGAGAGAAGGTAGAGTTTTGCATTGGTCCAAAGCTGTCTTAACTGGTTGCCTGTGGAGAGAACAGAGAAAGGACAAATTCCAAGACAGCTCAGCAATCTTCTTAGGAAAAAACTTGTTTCATTTTTAAGAAACCTTTCTTGCTTCTGCATGATGAAAAGCTGAAATGCTGATTCAAATTGCTGTGAAGACCTTTCTTTTTATTGTGAAGCATGTTCTAATGGTACGTATACGAGGGGCTTATATTCAGTAACTTAGGGGCTGCTATGCCAGAATACAACTATTGGAAATGTTAATTAACAGTGTTAATGAATCACCAGAACAAGTTCAGCTGGAATACCAGAATGGAAAAGATTGTCTGAAATCACTGCATGCACTGAGAAGCATCCCATTTTGTAGCAAGAGCATGGACCCAGGAGAGTGGGATTTGACCTTGGTTTTCCACTGTGCTGCTTTGTTGACTTCAAGCAGTTTAGGTTCCCTTTGCCTCAGTTTCCCCAGCTGTACCAAAAAAACCCAGCCACCTACCTCACAGGGGTGTTGTGAGGCCAAAGCTGCTCCTTGTCAAGGTTTGGGACTGCTGGAAGGTGCTGCAGAGGACTAAAAACCTTCATTAGAGGCTCTTTATATTAGCTTTCATTACAGTATTTTAATACTACTTTGGGAAAGGCTTATTTCTACAGAATGTAAATTACATTCTATTTAAGCATTATGTAATTAGACGTAGTATGTATGGGTAAGGAAAAGGCTCAGGCTGAGCACTCCATCTAACTGGTATTTCATCTCTAATTCTCTGTGCAACACAAATGGTATACTAATATAAGGCTTTTTGGGTTTACGAGATAGGGCAAAATTGATTTCATGTATTCCACATAAAAACCAATGTCTGAAATAAAATCCTGTGCACAGTGGATAGCCATCTCTTATAACGTGGCTGGTTTAAAGTCTATTCCAATTATGTGAACTAGAAATGTTCACTGTTGGAAGTATGTATTTGTGTCAGGGTACTAAGTGGTGTTTTGTGATTGGAAAGTAGTTTTCTTCTTTCACTGTAAACACACGATTGTCCTGCTCTTTATCCTTTCCCATGTTGAAGCAGCATACAGGTACAATGGAAATTGGGAGAGACAGTAATCTGAAACTTTAAAGGCTGGTACTGAGGCAGGCTGTGGGGGAAAAAGATGAGGAAATAAAACAAAAGGACACAGTTGCCCATGGGGAGGCCTCTGTCAAAGGGATAAAGAAATGCTCAGAAGGCAGAGCTGAGAGGGGCAGGCAGGAGAGGAAGGTGTATAAATACAGAGGTGGTGATGACCCTATCTACTTATCTCCTGTTTAGCAGTTAACTGCAGCTGAAGGAACATGAAGAAATGATCGTTAGGAATACTAGAGACCCTTGTCTGCTATAGTGGTGAGATCAAGGCTCATTGCTCAGCTTTTACAGTGGGCCTCCACTGGAGAAGCAGAGAACATGATGGTGGCATACATGCAGACAGACTGCAGCTCTGGTGGGGACTGGCCAGAGGTGAGGCCTGGCAGCTATTTTCTCTTCCTAATGTTTTTCTCACTGCGGCACCTCTAAGACAGTTGTTCCTCTGCATCAACCATGACAATGCTCTGTCAGAAATGATTACTGCTAAATTTCAACACATTGCTGCAGTTGCTTCAGAGGAAACGTTGAAGTTGCTGAATTACAAGCATTAATGAATAACACAGGGAGCTTTTTGGAATACTTGATGATGAGTGACATTGAGGTCAAGAGAGTTGTAGGTGGCTTAAAATGGATAAGATAAATATCCTGCTATATGGTGGGGAAGAGAATAAAGGTGTAGATCATCTATCCTTTTTCCCTTTTATTAAACAAATTACTTTGGTCTTGATGTCTTTCAGCTACAAAGAGCTGCTTCTGCCATTCTCTTACCACTTTCCTCCCTATACTTTCCTAATCTGTCACTTTTAAAGATGCTGATGAAACAGCAAATACTCATTGAGGCTCTTTAAGAGAAATACGTGCTGTAATGTTTTTCCATATTATTCTGTCTTTAATGCAGCCTAACACCTTACTCGCTTTCTTGACTGCAACTACACATTGAGCAGATGTCTTCATCCAGCTGTCCATGGTGATGCCTAGATCGTCCCTTTGAAAGATCACAACTAACTCAGAATCCACCAGAGCATGTATGAGCAGTTTAAAGCCCTTCCAGTTTTCACTGCCTTGGGCTTCTTTTCTCTCACCACTGAAATGCCAACTTTACAGAGGGATTTAGCATCCCCTGGCACTCACCCCCTTCCCCAGTGCTGACAAACCTAACAACTTTCTATGGGTATTGATTCTTGCCATCCGATGTACTTCAGTCTTCAGTTTCATGTGTATAACCCACTCTCCCTACCAGTTGTTAGCGCATGGCACGCTCTTACCAATTTTTACTCAGTCTGACCTTTTCTGTTCTATTTCTTGTCTCATGTATTGAGTTTTTACCTAGCTCAGTTATAGCACTTAAGTAACCAAGTTAAAACTACTTCATTTCAAGTAATTTGCCTCCAGAAAACTGTCAGCACAAGCTTCT